AACACCCCTGGGAAAAGGCATGGATATTCTAGAATTTCATTGGAGTTAATTACAGACCATCTATATAGATGAGACATATAAGCTCTTGCAGAGGAGACTAAGTGTATTTTTTGTCTTTGTTACAGAAGGAGATTGAGTGATGGTATTGAATCCTGCACTGGTTTCAGGAACTTACTGAAGCAGCCACCTCTTTCCAAGGGATGCAGGCCCTGGCCTTCCCTCTGCCGCCTTCCTGCTGTGACTTCCCTGAGCATCTAATTAGGGAATAAATGGCACCCTACTGGGTATAAGTGAGAGTTGGGTGTCATAGGAAACAGTCATGACAACTTTAGTTCCTGGGCTCCAATTCCAGAGTTTTGTGAAGCCTCCCAGGGCCATCTACCCTTCTTCCCGGTGGAATGTGCTTCTCCCAGCTCAGCAGAGCAGGGTGTGTGCTGACGCCCAGGACTCACCATGGTAGATCCCAGCTGAGAGGTCATTACCAAGAGCTCACGACCTCCCAGCTCAAGAAAATTAGAGCACCAGGTCCTGGAAGCTCCCAGAGACATGGCACACTCCCTCAGGGTAGGAACCCACCCAGGATCCAGCGTCTCTTTGAATGCGGGTGTACTGGATTGACACCATGACAGTATAGCCGCTGTCCTTGTTCTTGGTTTTCCAGTGGTGTAAGGCAGACCCCCTTCCTTCTAGAACAGTGACCAACTCAGACTTTGCCTCCGCAGCACAGGGCAATAGGGAAACAGTTACCTGGTCCCATGGACCCAAGGAACTCGGCAGCCCCCAACTCTGTGGCCTCTCTGACTGGCCTGGAATTGTCCCTATTCCTCCATTAGACAGCAGTGGTCCAGGCCTTGAGTGTCCCAGGTGGGTTCCCTTGGTCAGCTATGATTTTCTTGGCTGTTCAGCCTCCTCCATCCCCCTTTCCTAACAGTTCCCGGTTCCTTTGGGTGAAGGAGCTCTCCCTTCTGGGTGCAAGAGTGAGGGGATGTTAAACAAAGTGCTGGCCCTTGAACAGGCCAGGCCAGCCAGATCTGTTGGGTGGGAGTTGGGCTCTTGAGTGAAGTATTGTGAGGAGTTGTTTGTTTTAAAAAAGAAAAAAAAGATTTGTAAAATTATTAACATCCTTAAGGACATGGCTGCATCATTCCTGGTGCTCAATGCCTGGAACCACTCTGATTCCTGCATTTTTCCAGGGCTATTTGCCAGCCCAGTACCCCTGCCTTCCAGCCCTTTCTGTGAGGCACTGTGTATTTCATCATCAAAGTCACTTTTTGTCTAACCTAGATAAATTGGGTCTCTCTTGACCCAATTGATGGCAAAGAGCCTGAATTGATACAAAGGTATTTGTGTTAATCTTAGATTTGTTTATTTATTACTTATGTATTGCATGCAAGGCCAGAAACTTTCTAAGTGAATAATAAATATTAACTTATTAATCTTCACAATAATCCAGAGAGTTACCTCCATTTTACAGATGAAAGAGTGCAGGGGAAGGAAGAATAGCTTGCCCAAGCACACACTGCCAACAAGTAGACACGTGCAGGAGCTGAGCTTCTACCTACATGGGCTACATTCAGAGTCTGTGCTCTTAATTGCTAGCCTATGCTGCCTGTCAGTACAAGTTAGTGTTGCTTACAAGACAAAAATCACTAACTAGCCAGTAACAATTCAGTTTGGATGAAAAAATGAAAAGTATGGCAATGATGACGTAGAGCTGTATTTATTGATGTGACGATGTCCATTGTATATTATTAAGTGAAAAAAATTGATAAGAATTTTTTACTTATTAAGATGGTATACCCACTTTCTCCCTACTCCCTGACTCCCAAACACACACACATTACAAAGCCTAGAATCACATTCATCAGAATGTCAACCATGGTGATTCTCCTAACCTGGGGAGGCCCACCAAGCTCTGGGTTTCTTAGTGCTAGAAATATGAGCTACAATAGCATGGAGCTTTGGAGGGAATACACTGACATGCTCCAGACCATTGAACCCCTGAAAGCTTACCTATATGGCATATCTCTGAATCTTTGCAACGTTTCTCTCCCACCACCTGCAGTGTTTGTGACTTACTAAGTCATTGAGAATAGTCAACATTTCTTGCTTATCAGGCCCATGAACACAGTGTCATCAATCCACTGGACCAATGTCATGTGTTGCAGAGTGTCCAGAAAGGCTATATTGTAACACAGACCAGGATTCACATTGCCCTGGAGCAAGACTGTAAAGATATACTGTTGTCCAATCCTTGAGAATGTGAATTGCTTCTCAACCTACATCCTGCTGGATCCTTTAAAAGTGGCATTTCCATATTAATAGTTTCATATCACTTACTAAGGCTGTGCTAACCTGTTATAATAAAGATACCACATTTGGCACCGCAACTGTAATTGGGGTTACTCTTTGGTTAAGTTTCTAGTAGTTGTTTAGTAGCATGAACCACCTAGCTTTTCCAGAGGGCAGACTGTTGAATTAAAATGGAGGTGTAACTGGGATAACAACCCCTGCCTCCTTCACATCTTTGTAGGTGGCACTAATCTCTATGATTCCCCAAGAATGTGATAATTGCTTTTAACTTACTCTTTTTTCACCATGAAACTTCAGTTTCAGAGCCTTCTGCGTGGTCCTCCCTAAGACAGTCATTGTTATTTCATAGTTTAGGAAACCACAGGTTAAGGAACCAGGTCAGCCAATTGCTATGTATTACGATGTTTGCATTAATGAATATCCTGATTACACATTCAGGAACTGGGGAAATGATTGCTGGGTGGCTCTGTGGATCCAGAGGGCCCATTGTGAGACAGACATTACCTGATCTCCATGTACTCTACTCTAACAGGGGCCACGATAGGGCTTTGGGTCCCCAGGGATTAGCATCAACTTTGACATTGTACTCAACATCCCTTGAAAGATCTGTGTATTTTCCTTTCCCCAACATGTGAGTTACTCGAATAAATGGCCATAGAGCCCTCCCGTGAAAACTTGAGGGAATCAGTGCTGTGCACATTAACAAGGTTCTTCCTTATGAGAAACTGCCCTCATTTCCAACAGTGGGTTCTGGATTCCATTGAGAACTGGCTGAGGTTCGGAAGCTGGGCAAGGGGTCTAGACTTTACCTTTAGAGAGCTGACCTCGGCATTCTGCTCATCGATTTTCACTTTTTTTTAATTATATATCTAAAGCAATATCCTTGTCAGCTGCCCATCTGTCTTGCCTGTAGGAAGAGCATATCCATGCATGTCTGTCTTCATAGATACCTACAGGCCAGGCCTCTCAGCTGTCACTCTAACGTTGATGACCCTTAGGGAAATTACTTTATCTTGTCCTCACAGTTAAATGCTGCTACTTGGCCTCTGTTATTCTAGAATTCTATCATTTTGCTCACTACTGGGGGATCCAGTTCTATAAAACATCCCTAGCATTATTCCAGCCTGCAGGGGACAGCCACCTTTGAGCTTGTCAAGGATGTGCTGCCCCCTCAGCAGTGCATTCCTTCTCACCTTAATTAGAGTCTGAGACACCTTAGTAGTGTCACCTGTTGGAGGAACTCAGTCACCTGATGGATGGATTCTCCAGTTGTAGAGCACAGAGTCATTCTAGCACCCAAATTCTATATCCTTGGGACCCTTTTTCCCAGACTCTGCCACAGTAGTCCTGGTATCTCTGCTTCCACTTGATTTAATGTGTAGCATGGCTTATACTAAGTCTCTGGGAGCCACCCAGGAGTATATCAGAATTGCTACCTTTGGCCCATGCCAGGCTAGTTAAACTCTGTGGTAGAGAAGCTTGCCCTTTTGTCAATAATTCTCACTTATCCGGTTTCACATTTCGCCCTTCCTGGACCACGATCCACTCCCAGACACAATCTCCTTGCTCCTGCTGATGCAGCTGGCCAGTCCTACAGCTCCTTTGGAGGATGAACGCTCTCTTCACTTTGTCACCCTGCCCATGACTGTGGACTTGCATTGTCCTAAGCGGTCGCTATATAGTCTTCATTCTAGAAAAATCAGGAGTTGGGTGGGAGTGCTAGCTCCCTCTTCCAACAAGGGGCGAGAGGACCTTTCTGTAGGCCCAGTGAGTTCAGGGGGCATCTGGAGTTAAAGTTCTCAAGTACATCTACCTAAATAGCCCCATGCTGAGTTTCAAGGCCTTGACATTGGCATAAGAGACCACCCTGAGCTTAGAATTCAGTATTCTCTGAAGTCTGGCTCTTTGTAAAATAAGGGCCTGTAATAGGCCTTCCTTGCTGTCTGCCTTCCAGCTGTAGGGTCTCTTCTCTTTAGGCTGGTGATGACTAGATCTAAACCTGTCATTTACTCTTCTCAGGACATTAATGACCCTTAGCAATAGACACCAAAACCCATACTTCTATAGTTACCTTTCCTCACTTCTTAAATGCCAGACAATTGTACCAGCTACTTTAGTACAGAGCTTGACCTGTAGCTCATTCAATTTACTACAGGTGAAAATTTGGGCAACTGCTCAGTGATAGCATTTCGGGGACTATCCATATTCCACCCAGCACCATTGGGCTAGACAGTGATCCAGCTCCAGAATCCTGTCCTCAGAGCTTGCTTCCTGGGGCCATTACCTTAGGTTGCATTCCCCAGAAGCACATTCTGGGATGAAGTCCCTTAAGCAAGAGATTTATGGTGAGCATTCGCTCAGAAAGGAGTAGGGGAAGCAGCATTGTGTGGCCAAAAGCTCTGTGTAGCCGCACAGAGTAGCCACACACCACATCCTTGGTCCTGCTTTGAGGCAAGGGGAACGGCCTCAGACCATGGGGTGTCACTTCCAGGCAAAGCTGATTCTACTTGACCCAGGGTAATATTCTGGGGACTGCTGGCATTAGCAGCCACCACTCAGCAGCTGGGGATGAAAAGACGTGGCCAGAAGAGGAGATGGTGCCAGGATGCCAACAAGCTTTGCAAGGGAGTGAAAGATGGCTAGATTCATTGGCTGAGCTACAAATGAATTAAATTGACAAAAGCAGATTAACAGGAGGAAATTTTTTTAATAATATATTTATGCATAGGAGTCCCACGAAATATGAGACTCCAAGAAGAGTCAGATGATGGATGCTCACACACCATCCTGAGCTATGAAAAAGAATGGGGACTTGGGGCTTCTGCATGGAGGTGACACGGAAGTGGGAGAGTGAAGGGAAGAAGTGTCTCCTGAATAAAGCTTGGCTGGTTTTCAGATAAAAGGTCTTCTGGGTAATAAACGTTGTCTGGAGCAGCCCTCAGAAGTGAGAGTCTATGTGGGATGGTGTCACCTCCGGTATCCTCCCCTGTGATCGCACTTACTCTTCCCTGACTGATGAGATACTCAGGGTTGTGATTCATGATGATTGAATTTCCTTTTGAGGATTTGTCTTTGGGCAGATGAGGGAGGCTCGGAGAAAAGCCCCTCCCTGCATGTGCTGTGCCCAAGTGACCTCATTTTGAAGTAAGTGGCAAACCAGTGGCATATTTTGGGGTGTCATTTGCTGAATGCCTTCAGCATCCACTAATCCAGTCAATTGTTATCATTTGTTTCCTGAATAGCAAACACTTCCTTGAAATTCTTCTCAAACTCAGCCTCCAGTCTAAGTCCCATTTGGCCAAAATCCTTGTACTGAAAAAATAATAAAGACAAAAACAATGCTCCTCATCATTAGCGTCATCAGACAACTTTCAACTGAGAAAGATCAGGACTCTTGTGTTTAAAACAAAAAAAGTACTGTAAGTCGACAATTTATAATGGTATGTATTTTGGAGTACAAAGTAATGCTGTGATTTATGACTGCTATGTGGAATAATTAAATCAAACTAATTAACATATTCATCACCTCAAATAGTTATCATTTTGTTTCAGTGAGTACATTTGAAATTCACTCTCTGAACAATGTTGAAGTGTGAAATACACTATTGTTAAGTAGAACTCTTATCTTAAACACCCTAAGTTACATTAACCAGGTTAAACTTGAAAACTCATGCAACTAATAGTAACTTCTGTTTCTCACCAGCATGATCCTTTCTTATTAACAGGGCAGAAAAGTGAAATCATTTCCACAGTTGGGATTTTTACTTATTGACTTTGGTTGCTTATTTCAGTGGGTTAGAAAAGTAATCTATGCTCTTTCAACAATTCAGATAGTGGAAGGGTATAAGTTAAGATCGCTATCTGTTCCTTTCTCGGTCACTTCTACTCCTTGCTGCTAATCCGTGTTAACCATATGGTGTATTCACATGCAAAGGAATCTGGAGTTTGGGATTTCTGGGATTGGGGGCAGATAAGAAGCACAATACCACTTTAAGATGAAATTCTCTTCTCTTTATATGCTACAGCAGGCAGGACTCAATTGCTCTCTCTGAGCTCCTGTCTCCTCTGGGGCAGGTCGGGGAGGAGCTCTCAGGGACCTGGGGTTCTGGTTGCAGGGACACCTTTTGACTCACTGTTTCCTTGCTAAGAAGAGCTTAAGTTCTGAACTGAAAACAATCAGTCACTTCCAGAACCCTTGTTTGTGCAAGCTTATTACAGGATGAGGGAAACTAAATTTTTCTAGGCACCAGAAAATGAGGGGAAGGATGGAAAGAAATGAAATGGAAGCAGGAAGAGCCGCTTACCTTGTAAGAGGCCCTGTGGTTCTGGAAGATGAGGCGCATGTCTCGTACAAACCCCTCCACTTGGGGGTAACTGTGCTCGTTCAGCTTTTTCTTGATTTTATCCAACCACATGGGCTCCTTCAGGCCTTGACACATCTCTCTAATCTGGTGACAAAAAACACAACAGAAAATCTACCAGCATAGTTCAATGTCTGCCTTCTGTGGATTCCCATAAAATCCAGCAGAAATACAAGGTGAAGGTTGTAACGACAGCATGTGCTCTTGCCCCATGGGATTAAGATCACAAATCTCACGAGGGCCCATTTCAGGGTCAGGTAATGTCATGGCAGCCTGTAATCATGGGTTGCTGTTTTTACTTACATAATAATAGTATGGAATCTTGGCAAAAAAGGAGCTCTCAGAACAGCAATAGACTTTCAAGAGGAGGAACTCACATTTCTGCAAAAGAAAGAGGCCGTAAATGAAAAGCAGCTTGGAGAGAATGAGCCCACATGCATGAGACGGAGCACACGACTCACACCCTTCTTCTACAAGTTTCTCTAACATGTGTGGCTCTTGGAAACAGACATGTCATGGCTGAGTTATTTTTTGTGCAAACAAATTGGGGTGTTCTATCAGTGTGATTGAAGTGTGGCTCGGAAGAGCAGGCTCCTTTTGGTGCATTCCCCTGACCCTGTGCTTGTTCATGGTGCTCATGTGTGAGGGGAAAGGAGAAGGCTTGGGGTTTGCATCTGACTTACCAACTGTTCCTGCGGACACATCTGCCTCTCCAGGACCTCAGATTCCTGACAACACTGTTGGCTTCCTGAAGACTCCTTCATCCTGCAGAAGATGCAACTCCACGGGGTCCTGAGAGATTGGACATGGGTGAGCAGAGGGCAGGGACCCTGGAAACGGCCGTTCCTGTGGCTGCCACTGTCTTCCTTCAGGAATGGCTGATGGCCTCAGCCATGGGAGGGAGGAGAATACCTCCCAGAGTATGCAGGATTCACACATGGGATCTCCAGCCATTGGCCTTTCCCTTGCATCAGTGGTAGCAGCAGGCAGGAATCCTCAGGAAGGTGGTGTCACCATGAGTGTGGACTCTCCTTTCCCTGTCTGAGCTGCTGGGAGCGCAAGCAGCCCTGCCTGCCAGGCCTGAGTTTCAGAAACTGGGCTTTCAGCTCCAGGGACCTCGGGCCTCCATCAGCCCAATGAGACCGTGCTACCTGTCTTGTATAAATAAGCACAAAATATAAACAACTGGCGCTTCTTGTCTCCAACCCACCCTGCTGCAAAACTTGAAGCACAAGGCCAGTATGTAGGTAAAGGGTCCCCAGCACTGGCCTCAGCATATCAGAGGCGGGTCCCTGAGAGCACAGAGAACATGAACCTCCTGCTGCCAGCGTCTCCCGCTAATCTCTGAACACACTGCTCGGTCCCAGTACCCGACGAACCTGCTCCTTCCCCATCTAGACACAAGTGGGCGCTCTGCTGGAGAGTGCGCATGGCAGGCGGAAGGTCCCTTAAAGGAGGAAGGAGAGGCGCCTGCATGTCACTCACCTCTCAGTTTCCACAGGCGCGATGTGACAGTCCTCATGGAAGACTCTTGAACAAGTGTCACAACAGAACAGCTCCCCTCCGTCCCGGCACACCTCACACTCATCCAAGTTTCTCATCTAGAAGGTAAAACAGTGTCCACGTCACTGGGAACCGCAAGATTCAGGAAGGCCACCCCTCTGGGCATCTAGAACACACTGCCTATGTGTGAGTCTGTGTGGACAGGCGTATGCTTCTCCCTGGGATATGAAGGAAAAGCATGGCAGGGAGATTTCAGAGCAAATCCTGGTCTGCAGTGAAGTTCAGGAGGCAGGGGTATGTGTCAGAATAAAAACGTTTTCCTTATAAAACCAGAGTTTGTAATGCAGAAAGACTAGCAACAAAGCAAGATGGTGATTTTATAGGAATCTGAATAATTGTATTATGCTGCAGATAAAACCAGGTTTTCAAGTAAAGTGTTAAATCCATTTGCCTATACCACAAATCAGCTGGTGAAAAGGAGACTCAGAGAATTACATATGATAGAATAAGCTTCTGAGATATCATCACATGCCATATTCTTGGCCATAAGTTCCCCATGAGTTGAAGAGAGGGCCTAGTTAGGGGTTCCTAGACTGTAGGTTTTGCGCCTGGAGGGCTCTACGCCGACCTCTGAGGGGGAAGGACCATGGGTACAGATGACCACGTGGACCACAGGGAGCACAGAGCTCTTCGGCTCTGGGAGCCTGGCAGATGATCTCGCATGACTTAGCTAACCTGGATTGTAAGGTGCGAAGGTGCCATCTCTAATGGCCAAGGACAGTGGTAACAGCACCATACAGTGTTGAAGATGGAGGCCCTCTCCTCATTTCCTGGGCCCATAAAAGAGCTGGTGCTTTTGTTCTATCTATTGAATGGGAAATCAGCTAATTCTCTATTTCTCACCAGTCTCAATATATGAGACCTTCAGCCAGATTTAATTTGATTTGGGGAAATTAAAATATGATAGTATTTGCATTCATAGCCAGTGGTGCCTTTGCCTGTGTTTTGCTTGGGCCCACTGGGCTGCTTCCACCCACTTGGCCTGGCAGGCTGCACTTGGCTCAGGCTACTGGCCTGGATCCCACACCTACCAAGGGCCTGCCATGGGGCAGGTCAGGCATGGAGCGGGGAGGGGTGTGTGAGCAAGCAGGGGGTCCAGCCACTGCACACAGTCAGACATGCCCTGCTGTTGCATAAGGGCAGGCAACTCCAGGTGCTGGCATGAGCACTGGCTCTCTGCAAGGCTGTGTCTGGACTAGGCACACTGCAAGCAGCTTCCACGGCTGGCACCATGGAATGTGGTGGCACTTGGAAGCTTGAAGATGCCAGGAACCACAGAGTCTTCAAAAGGGTGTCACAGCCCTGGCTCAGGGAGCTTCCAGGTCTGGTGTCCCCAAAGGGTTGCAGCTCTTCTCTCCTCTTCACCCACAACGTGGTAATCAAGGGGCATGTTTCAGCCCTGTTTGTGTTACAGCTCTTTTAGCCTCGCCATTCAGCAGATCCCAAGTTCTTTTGTCCTGCGACCAGGAAGAATGAGGGACATAGACAAGTGGAGGGTGAGCAAGACGAACAGGAGCTTTACTGAGCAGTAGAACAGCTCAGAGACCCACTGTGGGTAGCTTCTTTCTGCAGCTAGGGTTTCCTGATGAGTGTTCAGTCCTCAGCAGAGAGGAGGAGGTCCTGGGGTGGGTGACTTCTCTCTGCTGGCAGGTAGTCCCTGGAGTGCAAAGCTCCTCTCTGCTCCTGGGTGTCCAGGATGTTCTCTCCAAGTCTGACTGAGTCTAGAGCTTTTATGAGCTTCAGAGGGAAGTGTATGCTGATTGGTCCATAGGTGACCATGAGCAGACCTTTGAAAGGTGTTGCAAGTTCCCACTCTGGTCCACAGGATTGGCAGCCCAGTTTCCAGCCTTCAGGCCCTCCCTTGCCTGAAAGTGGTGCCTCACCAGGGACCTGCCCCTTCCCACCCAGGAGCCTGTCTGCCTTCCCCCGGCACCCATGGTGCCCAGGCCCCTTGCCCCAAGGGGCACTTGCAGGCCAGTGCTGAGCTGGCCCCAGCCCATTCTTGGCCTCTCTTCTATGCTTGTCAGCACTCAAAGTCCAGAGGGGTGCAGGCGGCAGGGGACTGGTGTGTCAGCTCTGCCCCAAGCATGCACACACCTGACTGGGCTGCAACCGCACCCAGCTCAGCCCCAACCCCGCTCCAAGATTGCAGTGGGTGCTGGGAGCAGGGAGAGGTCAGGCAGCAGAAGCAGACACACCCTAGCCTGCCATGGCAGGAGGAGGATGGCCTCCTGGGCCCCCAAGAGCACTGGGAGGCCCAGGCCTACAGCTGCAACCTGGGCACCTGCAGTGGCGCCTGGCGAGCTCCTGCCCTGCCAATTCGGGAGGCAGGGCTCCTGCTTGTCCCCGGCTCTGCAGTGTGGCAGCCTCAGCCATGCCCCCTCTCTGTGTCTCCTACAGCAGTTGTGGATGAGGTGCAGGTGGCACAGTGCCCAGCCAACCTCGCACAAAGGAATCTGACGCTCAGGGGCCAGTTCTGTGAGTCCTTGCTGCACCTTTGGCCAGGTGCTTGCAGGTTCCCAGGACGCAGCGGGGAGAGAGGTCCAGGCTGTGATAGAGGCTCTGGGCTTGGGAGCAGGTCCTGCCGGCCATGTGAGGGGTGAGGGCGACACAGTGAGCTGACTCAGGGCACAGGGGATCCACTGCCGCCACTGCTGCTCCTGCGGCCATTCCTGCTGCCCTGTCTACCTCCTTGCAGCCTGGGTTGGGGGCTCCCGCCCTTGCCAGTCCCAGGCCAGGGTCTGGGGCAGGGGTGATGTTGCCTCAAGTTCCTCCTGTGGCCCCAAGGGTCAGGGACGACTTGGGGCACCCCCTCTCCTGGCTCGTGACCCTGCCAGGGGGAAACCTCCAGGAGCGGATTGCCTCCCGTCTTGGCTGCTGAAAGCACCAGTCACAGCGGTCACTCTAACGCGGGGCAGATCCTAGGGACACAGCCTCTGGCGGCCCTTCGTTTAGCCTTCTGTGAGGGGCAGGAACCTGCACTGAGGGCAGAGTGGGTGCAGGGGCCGCATTGCTGGCTGGGTCCTGGAAGTGGACACCACTTCCACTTCCCACCCTGGCCCCTGAAGCATGGCCACTGCTCCGCATTGGGGGCCGACCTCCACACTACCTGTGCAAGTGCCAAACCACCACTGGCCCAGCTCCGCCTTGGGGCCTCTCTCTGCTCACCCCTCCCTGCCTGACCACTCCCTATGGGCAGCTGGGCCTAGCCACATTGCAGCAGCTCCCAGAGGTGGGCCCCAAGGGCGACTGGCTCTGGGGATCACCTGCCTCTGTGTCTGAACGGGAGGACCCATGGCCAGTGCCTGCACCTCACTGCAGCCAGCTTCATGGCAGCAGCCACTTCAGACTGCCCGCCACTGCCATCAGTAGTGGGACTGCTGGATCAAACGATAGATCTACTCATACTTCTTTAAGGAACCTCTGTACTGTTTCCGTAGTGGCTGTACTAGTTTACATTCCCACCAGACGTGTAAAAGTGTTCTGTTTTCACTACATCCATGCCAACACCTGTTGTTTTTGATTTTTTAATTATGGCCATTCTTGTAGGAGTAAGGTGGTATTGCATTGCGGGTTTGATTTGCATTTCCCTGATCATTAGTGATGTTGAGCATTTTTTCATGTTGTTTGGCCATTTCTCTATCTTCTTTTGAGAAGTGTCTATTCATGTCCTTAGCCCACTTTTTGATGGGATTATTTGATTTTTTCTTGTTGACTGCTTTGAGTTCCTTGTAGATTCTGGATATTAGTCCTCCGTCGGATGCATAGTTTGCAAATATTTTCTCCCACTCTGTGGGTTGTCTGTTTATTCTGTTGATTATTTCTTTTTCTGGATGGAAGCTTTTTAGTTTAATTAAGTCTCATCTATTTATCTTTGTTTTTCTTGCATTTGCTTTTGCGTTTTTGGTCCTGAACGCTTTCCTAAGCCAATGTCTAGAAGAGTTTTTCCAATGTTATTTTCTAGAATTTGTATGGTTTCAGGTCTTAGATTTAAGTCTTTGATCCACCTTCAGTTGATTTTTGTATAAGGTGAGAGATGAGGATCCAGTTTCAGTCTTCTAAATGTGGCTTGCCAATTATGCCAGCTCTATTGGTTGAATGGGGTGTCCTTTCCCCTCTTTATGCTTTTGTTTGCTTTGTCAAAGGTTAGCTGGCTGTAAATATTTTACTTTATTTCTCAGTTCTCTCTTCTGTTCCATTGGTCTATGTGTACTGGTATATTCTCACATCCAGACTATGCTGTTTTGGTGACTATAGCCTTGTAGTATAGTTTGAAGTCAGATAATGTGATGCCTCCAGGTTTGTTCTTTGTGCTTAGTCTTGCTTTGGCTACATGAGCTCTTTTTTGGTTCTATATGAATTTTAGAATTGTTTTTTCTAGTTCTGTGAAAAATGATCATGGTATTTTGATGGGAATTGCATTGAATTTCTAGATTGCTATTGGCAGTATGATCATTTTCACAATATTGACTCTACCCATCCATGAGCATAGGACATGTTTCCATTTGTTTGTGTCATCTGTGATTTCTTTCAGCAGTGTTTTGTAGTTTTCCTTGTAGAGGTCTTTCATCTCCATGGTTAGGTATATTCGTAAGTATTTTATTTTTTTGCAGCTAGTGTAAAAGGGGTTGAATTCTTGATTTGATTCTCAGCTTGGTCACTGTTAGTGTGTAACAGTGCTACTGATTTGTGTACATTGATTTTGTATCCTGATGCTTTACTGAATTCATTTATCATATCTAGGAGGTTTTTGGATGAGTCCTTAGGGTTTTCTAGGTATACGATCACACTGGCGACCAGCAACAGTTTGACTTCCTCTTCACTGATTTGTATGCCCTTTATTTCCTTCTCTTGTCTGATTGCTCTGGCTAGGACTTCCAGTATCATGTAGAACAGAAGTGGTGAAAGTGGGCATCCTTGTCTTGTTCCAGGTCTCAGAGGGAATGCTTTCAACTTTTCCCATTTCAGTATTATGTTGGCTATGGGTTTGTCATAGATGGCTTTTATTACCTTAAGGTATGTCCCCTCTATACCAATT